AGAGGAAAGTACTCTATTATGAGACAGTATTCTAATACGAGACAGCAGGTTTTCACCGTCCAATTCAATCACAAATCTTTTTCGGCAACGATTACACGATCTAACAATCGATTTTCCACTAAATAAATCTCGCCCCAGGGGCAATAAATTCACGGTGGAATCAACTGACGATTCCTATTAATTTAGCAGAAACTGCGCTATCTCATATTAGGATCCTATCTCATAACAAGGGACTTTCCTCTATATTATTTTTCTAAAGTTTGATCCACCGAGGCTTCTTCGTTTAATACAATTAATTTCAATAATTAAGAAACTGTAGACTCGATATTTTCGCCGACAGGAAACATCGGTTCCAAAGTGTTGCCAAGGAAGTTGTAAGAACAATCTGAGAAAAACAACCGACGGTTTGCGGCATACCCTGTATGTTATGTAATTTACGTGTAGATACGTGTACATACAAGTGAGGATAAATGCGCCCCGTGTTGTGCTCCATAACGAGAGTCTCAAACGTCGTGCCGGGAGGATTATCGAGGCGCTTGTATAGCATGGAATGAGGTAAATCGAAGATAAAAGGCTGGAGAAAGACGTATGCACGATGTTAACGGCTATAGTATATAATTAGAAAAGCGAAAAATGGATCAGCGACATACTACCCTCTCTCTTCCATTCTCTCTGCTCTTTCATACTTTCTCCTTCTCGCTCTCGCGAACCGGCCACGAATCGATAAAATTGCGACGGGAAATAAATATTTATTATTCGCACCATTCGCCTTCCCGGGCGAATACACTTGCACGGCGGCCGCCGAGGCGACATTTCGTCGCGGAGAAATTCGCCCCGTATCATATAGCGATCAGTTAACACGTTATCTTATCCGCGAGTCGCAAAACTACACATTACACGATATATTCCAGAATCACGAATGCTCTTCCAACCACAATTTTCCCCGTCAATATGTAGAATTGATTTTTCCTCAATAAAAATATCCAGGAAGATGTCATCTCACTTGTCATATCTCGTTAATTTCTGATAATATCGCGTATCTTTGCGATTAAACTTCAAAGGCAGATTTTTGCGAAATCTACTTCGGTTGATTAAAGTTAATCTTGTCGAATATTTCCTCAGAAATTTAGCTTACGCGAAGACTATTAATTTTGAGCCATTAATTGTTCGCGGATCACTGGTTTTATCGAGGAAAAATTTCTTCCAAATTAATCAGGACGAAGGAAGCATTCGGGATAGTCTGTATTCTGCATGTTCGTATTGTTGCGAGATATTCGTAATTTCGGAGACTATAACTTGCGATATTTCTACTTATGTATATACTTTAATTCATTCATATATAATTTCGGATATGTGAGTTTTTATATATCGTTCTTGAATATTTTAAAATATCTTATAACGAAATCAGACCACATACAGTCGCATTATAATCGTACGTCGACAAAATACGCCGTGGTTTAACTTAACCTGTTGAAATGATTCTTCAATTTGCAGCCATTATTCAGATTATCGATGATCTTGTCCGGATGAAACGATGAAAAAATTAATACTTTAGCTTCCCAACATAGCGATTGTGATGTGTGTATATAATATTGTTTCCTAAATAAATAATTACATGCTATATGTGTAAATAAGTAACTGCAAAGTATAAAATATACTAACGTAATACTAGCGTGAGTAACAGCAGCGTTCGATTAATCGAATCGTAACGAAGAAAACTTAAATTTCTAAACTACCTTAAATTCGTATTACGGAATGTTTTAAACACACGTTTGTAACGCGGACTGCGAGATTCTTCATTTGTTCGAATGTACATTCCAGATAGTTGACGAATAGCTCTTTGACTGCCGAATTCAATTGTGAGAACTGAGACCTGCTGGTGTTTTACCACGTAATGTACACAGACTTCTACGGGGTGTAAACTTAAAAGGAAAGTTATGTACCATTTTGTAAAATTCCCAATAGTTATCGAACAATTAATTAAAACGTCTGAGCGACTAACACCCTGTGTGTACCACTGGACTGCTACCTTCGAGCTGAAAAGTTCCGCCACGTCTTGTTAGATAAATAAAGCGGTATGTGTGCATCGGTGTGTCACCGGCAGCAATCGAGTAGTACATAGAAGTCAGTGGTTTTATAATGCGACAGATGTCCTCAGTTATTTCGTAAGATTTTGTTGACTTTTCAGGGCCAATTTCACAAACGTCGGTTAATTGTTAACCACAGTTCAGTCAACTTCCTATCTTTCTCTTTTCTTGTTACCTAAGAAGAGAATCAATTAACCTTCGGTTAGCAGTTAACCGACGTTTGTGAAACTGGCCCTTAGATTGCACGAGTAAACGACGTAAGGTTTTAACATAGGAAGAAAACGGCAACGATGCTTGCATAACCGCGCTGGAAACGTATGTTAAAGCTGCTATTCGTAAAGCAGCAGCGGGCGATAAGAAAACAGATTTGCATGCCTTTTAACATTATCTAACCGCGTAGCTTTGCAAGTGTGAAGTGTCGTTGTAGAAATAAAAACACGCGCGCCGCGATCGGAATAATTTCCAGTTGAAAAGGCGACCGGCTTTTCTCGCAACAACAATTTTTCCCCCACACAGAAATGCCGTCATAAAGTAATCTTGCACTCTCCGTCTCTCTCTCTCTCTCTCTCGCTCTCTCTCTATCTCGTCTAATCACAGGTAAAGCTGTGCGTTGGAATGAAAACTTAAGTAACGTCAGACGCTTTAGAAGGGAACCATCGCACGCGACGTGTGTAAGCACGCTCGATGCGATTTTGCGAAACCGCATGCGCGAATATATTGAGTTAACGCGGAAGTTTCGCCGTGCGTGTTTTTTTTATTTTATCAATCCTAAATAAGCCCCTCTGCGCCTCGATAAAATTATTACTTACAAAGGCTACAACACAATTCCTTCATTTCAATAGTCTTAGTGGACATTTCACGGAGTTCCCGCAAACGATTTAAAAAAGCTACCCTCCGAGACTGTCTGTGGGAAAAGCGGCGACAGAGTGTCCGACTTAATTTGAAATCGAATGCAACAATACTTTTCACGAGGTCCAGTTTTGATCCGTGCAATTTCTACGGGAACTGCAGGATGATCGCGGGAAAATATTTTCGCTCGTTCTCACATCTCTCTATCCCTCACAATAATATCTAATTGTTAGCTAGTGACACCGATGGACGAAACGATTGACAAGCGTTCCCTTAGGGGAAATGTCATCGTATTTTGTTTAAATGTCTATCTTCATTACTTTATCAATTCGTTATTTCTAAGAACACACGTTCCTCGCTCTCTTTGATATGCTCGAAACGCGACTCTCACTTTTTAACGTGGAATACTTTCATTCAAACTTGCCTGTGTTCCCTTCTCTCTCTCTCTCTCTCTGCCATTTCGGAGATAATCTTAAAGAAGTTATCGCAATCTTATCGTATGACCAGAAAAGAAGTTACTCTATGTTCGATTTACTGTTGAATTTGCAAATTATCTTGGCGAATCCTAAATCTTTCAAACGTCTATGTTTTATACTTTACTGAATGTCGAAATGTACTCTAAATTTACCTCTTAAACTTTTGCGTTTTTAGAGACTAATACAACAACGCGGTACGCATTTATTTGCATCTCGACAGAAGTGACGGAAATACTGTGCGAACTTCTTCACTGATCATATTTTTACATTTGTCGCGTATTGTCAATAATACAGAGATCCAGACGACTCGAATTGGAAGCGTTTACTATCGTGCGTTTGCATTTAAAAAGATTTAAAAAAATCAATCTCCAAAGATAAAATTTCCAAGCTACTGCGGAAACGAAACGACGTGATCATTTAATTCGTCATATAATTATTTATAATGACAATGGCAATTTGTCATTTCAATATACAATATACGTTATATATACATCTTCAATTAGACGTTACATATTCCATAATTCTATAACGCGTTTTCCGTATAATATTTCATGATATACATATATTCCAACATGTAGTAATTGCGCTTTTTTAACATGATACACTCTAAACGTATCACATGATCATCAATCATTTGTTTATACCGCAGTGCATAACACATTTATCCTGCGCGATAAAAGCCTCTTGCTCTCATTATCACGTAACAAATGTACATCCAAAGTAAATTAAATCTTTGCTGTTCTTTTCGGCGTTAATATTTGTTATTATCTATAATTCCTATATTTTCACTTTCTCTCTCTCTCTCTCTCTCTCTTTCTCTCTCCTTCGAGGCACACCACATGCGATACCTTCGCTAACGACTGACGTTAGATTTGAGGCTCTTACGACCGAGGGAGGGTACAAAATGAACGAATATTCAGTCTATGTCATTCGTATCCGTATTTTCCGCTGATCCCTTTCGCTGTCGCAATTTCCGGCGCAGCAGGACCGATTTAAGGATACTGGACGACCTTGGACCCGCGACATCCGGCCGCGGGTAATTCTGCTACGCCGCCTTGTGTCTCTTTCTCTGCTCTCTTCTCGCCGCGTTCGAACTGGGACTGCCCCTCTCGCAATCCGCCGTTGGCATTGGTTTCAATTCTCTGTAACAGTACACGCGTTGAAGGATCCCTCTCGTAAACGTAAACGCGTCAAACCATGCAAATATGTTGGCTACGATGATATGGCAATTTGTGAGAACGAACTAAGAGAAAAATTCGCACTATACTAATAGAGGGAAGTCCTCTATTATGAGATAGGATTCTACCCACACAGCATAGAAAGATTGCAGGAAGATTGCAGAAATGTTACATTGCAAGATTGCAATATTGCAGCAACGTTGCGCAACGTTGCTGCAACGTTTCTGGAGGATTGCAGCAACGTTGAAATGTCCGCCCTCAGAGAGATTGCAGCGCAACATTATAGCAATGTTGCGGTGCAATATTTTTGGAATAATTTGTCGTTGTTGTACGTAAGCGGAGAATTTACTAATTACATATGCACCCGGGCCTTTTTCAATACACAGCAAGCTATTGCGAAGCAACCTAAGGAGATTATGTCGCTTCGCAATAGAATGGAGATTGCGAGCAACATCGCACCGATCAAGTACTTAATAATTCGCGCATTATTGGTATCAACGAAAATAACATTATAAAATTCTCGTAATTAGAAAAATTTTTTAAATAGAAAATATAGTATTTTTATTATTCCTGAAACATTGCTGCAATATTGCTATCGAAAGTTTGCAATTTTACATCCCTGCCATGTCTCTGCAAGATTGCACTGCAATCTGCAAGATTGCAACGTTTCTGCAATGTAACTGCAACCATCTGTGCTGTATGGGAATATCAGATAGCAGGTTTTCAACACCCAAATTCAATCACAAATCTTCCCTCGCAACTATTACACGACCCAGCAATTTTCGCCCCAATGCCTATTAATTTAGCAGAAACTGCGCTATCTCATATTAGTGTCCTATCTCACAATAGGGGACGTTCCTCTATGTGCAATGTATTCCATATGTTTGCATGTGGGGTCGCACGTGCTCGAGTACACACACGTATACATTCCCTTTCTTTTCCTAAGCATATTTTTAGAACACTATAAGAATTATTTGGCTTTTCAGAATCTGCAAGCATTCGGAATCTCGAATAGTATTGAAGATAAAATTTATTTTTTTGCACACGTCTGATATCTGTTACACTTATAACTTTTATTCTTATAAAAATACAACAATTTTTTGCGATGTTTTAAGCACAAGTTACTATACTACATTAACATAAAAAATTTGTATTTAGGAGCCTCTTTGACTTATTTTACATTCCGTGATTTGTACGAAACTCGGTTTTCTAATTACAGCAGAATATGCGCGGCGGCTGACGACTCACTCCTTTCTGTTTCTTAAAACGCAGATAATATTAAAATATAAAATCATACGGATAAGTTTGAATCGTGTATATTTAACAATCATAAAACCAAAAATATCAAACCATATTACACTCGAGTTTCCCAAAACATTTTCGCAGGCTTTTTACATCTATAAGCGAAAAGATTCGATTAATTTTAACAAACAATGACACGCGCGCTAACGTGATACACGCGTTATCATTAATCACTCACCTATAATTAAGTAATTCTTCGTTGTCAGGCACTCTGGATATAAGATCGAGGACCTCGTTGTTGGGCACGGAGTGAGGCCTGAGGATTTTCCTAGAGAACTTATTGACTCCCCAGGCGAGGATTAAATACCGGACAGGAATAAAATAGAGCACGACCGCCCCGGCGATCACCAGAAGTATCGCCAAGTAGCTTAAATAGGGTATCGTAAAGTTGAAGAGATTCTTCACCTTCTCGCAAAGACTAGCTATGTAACCGATTGAGTTCTGGACTGTTTGCGTCACTTCTTGGATCGCCTGTAAACGCTCCTTCAAACTTTTCTTCTCCTCCTGAAATATCACTGTACATTAATAGATCATACATGCCGAATCAGACGTTGCATAAACATAAAGCGATATCAATACCAAATAGCGATTTCTACAAAGTTATTCAAATCTTTTTATTTCCAATTAAAACCAGTCGAATATTTTGGCCTCAGTTCAGATTCGTATAATTTTTTAATTGGGAGCAATGAAGTCAAACTAAGGCTTTTGTGTCGGAGAAAATATATTGGACTTTTGACCTCAGATAGCTCTTGGGAAGATATACCTTGAAAAAAGCCTTAAAATTTTCTTTTAAAACAATAAGAAATGTGAAAAGTAAATTTGGACACTTTTATTTAAGGTAAACTAGAAACTTACTTTAACCCTAGAACCCGACACATGGGTAAAATTTACCCAGACCAACTTTTCGAACGTTACCGCTCTGAAAATATGAGGAGTTGGCAGTAGTATACTAGGGCCAAAATTAGTTAACTAATTCCTTTGTTGGAAGGCATAACTCAGCTGTTTTCTCACCTGACCGTTTTCGACAGGGAAGACAGTAAAATTTCGTTCGGGTAAATTTTACCCATGTGTAGGGTTTACGTTGGAAAATTCATTTTTAATTTTTTCTTGTTTGTAATAAGATTTATCTTTCTTTCTAGTTTTTATTGAAAACTTGGTTGCTGATGTATGATAAATGTGCTTTAGAGGTTATAATTGTATCAAATAAATATATTTATTATATATAACATATATTATGCAATAGAAGTGAAATTATTTATAAATAACAAATAATACATAATAATATA